CAGTGAAACACTTTTTGCTTCTGAACACACCGCTTGTGGACAACAGTGTGACTCACAGTGTTGCCAGGTGCTATATTCCTCAACCACCCCTTTTCCACTATGGCGCATTTCCATCCTCACTGTCTTGATATATCTCTTTGTGCCAACAGAAGCCCCTTTCTTTGGTTGTGACACTGCTGACAAAATGCATCTTTGTAACTTTTTTTCTTTTTTATCCTGAGAGGACACTGTTGTACAAAAGACACAAGACAAAGGATGCAGCCACTGCTATAAATCATAGAATCACAGAATGTTTTGGGTTGGAAGGGACATCAAAGATCACCTAGTTCCAACCCCCCCTGCATGGCTGGGGACAGCTCCCACAGGACCAGGCTGTTCCAAGCCCCATTCAACCTGGCCTTGAACACTTCCAGGGATGGGGCAGCCACAGCTTCCCTGGGCAACCTGGGCCAGTGTCTCACCACACTCACACTTAAGAATTTCTTCTTAATATCTCATCTAAATCTCTCCTCCTCCAGTTTTAATCAATTCCCCCTAGTCCTATCACTTGTAAAAAGTTGCTCCCCAGCTCTTCTGTAGCCCCTTCAGATACTAGAAGGTGCTCTAAGGCCTCCCTGGAGCCTTTGCTTATTCCAGGCTGAACAACCCCAACTCTCTCAGCCTGTCCCCCAAGCAGAGCTGCTCCAGCCCTCTGATCATCTTCATGGCCTCCTCTGGACTTTCTCCAACAGCTCCATGTCTTTCCTGTGTTGGGGCATCCAGAACTGGACAGAGCACAACAAGGGGGCCTCCCAACCCTCACTAGAAGTGCCTTGCTAATGCATTTAAACACCTCACATCTGTGAGAGCACAGGAACTTTCACTTTTCTGGAATTAGTACCATTTTACCTAACCTAGTTTTAATTTTAGCAAACCATAAGAATGAGCAAAAGAATAAGCTCTGCAAAACAACCTATTTTACTCCCTTAAATTATGAAGAAATCTGCTTTATATAAACCATATCATAAACTGCCTATTGTGGGTCCTTTATCCCTTCCTCAGAACTGCACACAGAGGTGAGGGAAGCTGGAGCTAGGAGGCCATCTGAGCAAGGGCAGTACTTGCAAAACTCCTGCCAAAACAAGTTCATATTAAGTTATGATTTTTATTTTTTTTTTAACTGGAACTAGAATCACGATCATTAGATTGTTGTGATAAATCTTAGTTTATTCTTTAAGTATGTGTTGCTCTTGACAGTTGCTGTTCTGGCCTGGTAGCTGCTGTTCTGGGAACTCCTGCAGATGTGGTCAAAACCCGGATAATGAACCAGCCCAGAGATAAGCAGGGAAGGTACAGACACTACAGGGACTGACTTTGCAGTAGAAAATTGAAGCCCTGAGTCTCATTGATTTCACAAGGACTGAAGTGCTAGGTCTCTATTTGCTGTTCATCTTTCTGACGTGTTTATTGTTTAAGTTTGCTTGTTCAGGAGAGCTTGTGGCGAGGGCCACATAAGCATACCCAGTTACTCAGTGGATTTCAGTTCTGATGAGACTCCAGAGAGCTTAAAAAGAGCTCGGGCTTGTACAAATGTATCTGATACAGATTCTTTTTCAGGGAAGGTGGGATTTTTAAAAATTGCATATTTGTAACCCTAACAGTATTTTTTCTGCTTGCACATTGCCAGAGGTCTGCTGTATAAGTCTTCCATGGACTGCTTGATTCAAACTGTCCAGGGTGAAGGGTTTATGTCTCTATACAAAGGCTTTATACCAACGTGGATGCGAATGGTAAGTGCCTTTTAAACTGTCTTTACAAGACAGCTGATAACTGTGGCATTGAAATGCAAGGAGTTCTTTCTGTGCCAACGGCTTCTCCAAAACTCTTTGGGAGGCTTGATTTATTTAACTGCACAGCTGAATGCAGTGGATGACACAACTGGTGTAATGTTACTTCCTCTGTGTTGCCTCTTGCATCTCTTTAATTTGGAAAATGCTGTCCTGCTTAATTGCTAGCCATTTTCCTTGCTTTTTTTACAGTTTCAGGCTCCCTCCTTTCTCCCTTCCTAAACTCTCCTTTGTCCTGGCCTTCTTTTGCATCCCTCTTACTTTCATTCCTTCTCTCCTGATCCCAGAATTGCTTTATTACTGCTCCATCCCAGGCCTCACTTCAGCCCCTCTTCTATTCAGGCTCGTGGCTTTCTCCTGCAGAGTGCTGGGCCATTAAAACTACATCTGCACAATTAAGCCAAGCAGCAGCTGGAGCTTGGGAACTGGAACTCAGCTGTCTAGACTGTTAGTTTGGGCAAGGGACAATTCCCAATAGCAAATTTAGATGCAACCACTTTTTTTTTTTTTTTTTAAGTCTGTAAGAATGTAGCAGTACAGCTACGTCTAGACGCTGCCAGCTGGCTTCAGGGTCTTGACACTGTTTAATTTACCAGATTAAGCACTAAGATCAAAGGCAAATTCCTCCCTTCTTTAATTTAACTGAGTACAACAGTGGCTGTAGCCTCTGGTAAGAGGAATTATAGGAAGGTTCTGCTCGGTTGCTCAGTGGTGTTGTGTGTTTCCTACTAAGCTAAACATTTCCATGGAGCATAAACCAACTGAGATTTTCCAAAGGCTTGTAATTCTGGGAAGCTTTAGTGGGTGTTTCAGAGGAGCATGAAACAGTGTTTTCAAGGCAGCCTTTTGCCAAACAGTGATCTGTTGCAAAAAAATATAAATAAATAAAATAATTTCGAGTATCTGAACTAAATGCATGCAGGACATACATTTTATCCAAGAACTGTGCAAATTTCTCATTAAGATTTTAGGAGAAGTAAAGCCTTAAAAAATGTTTTGAAAAGCATTCAGCTTGAAGTAGCCCCCAAGTACGAAACATTTCAGGTCTAATATTTATGGGTTGGCAAAAAAAAATGTTTTAGGTGTCGTGCGAAGGACTGGGTAGCCCTAACCTTATGCAACACTGCAATTTTTGTATGAAGACATAATACAAACCTGAATTTAAGAATATGATTTTTAAGAGAACACAGTTTAATCTAGTGAGTTTATTTATTGTGTCACTTCTGTTTTGTGCCTCTGACTTCAGTGTTTGCTTTTGCAGGCTCCTTGGTCACTCGTATTCTGGCTTACGTACGAACAAATCAGGAGGATCTGTGGAGTTAGTTCATTTTAAAATTGTGAAACCACTTCAATATTCACAAAGCAAAGAAGAACCAGAAAGCTGAATTCTCATTACACAGGACATCCTGAACTAATTAATGTAGGAGACTGGCAGTAGGATCACATGTACAGGTTGCTGTCCCAAATCTAGCCTTTACTCGATAGGAGTAGCCATGACTTAAGGATGCTGTTTGCTTCTCAGACTGCTGTATGAAATTTAAATTATCCACAGGATAAAATTGCCACAATAATACTTCAACTGGCAGACAGCATCAGCTTTCTGAAACAGTGAAGGGATGTAACAAAATATCTACCAAGCAAATGAATGTAATAGTTTGCTTGTTTGATAATAGAAGACAGTGGTTAAGAACAAGAGCGAACTGAGCAAATCACCACTGAGCATCTTCTGTGGCTAAGCAGTCTATAAAATTATTTGGGAGTTTTTCTTATTATTACATTTGCACACACATAAAGAACTACCTCTTGCTAGTTTGTTGCCTCAGCAAACCAAGCCTGTACCCAGGAAATCAAAGGCCTGGTTTGCTCTGCCCCTCTGCAGGGACTCATAACACACGTGCTGTCCAAAGGAGTCCCAGTGCCCTGCAGGAGTCCCAGTGCTGACATGGCAGACTGGGTCATTAAGGTACCACTTTTCCATGGAAATACACATTCTGCCCATTTTAAATCTAGGTGAAAACATGTTCTCTTCAAACACACAAACTGCTTGAATATGAGTGATATGAGCGATTCTTTTTTTTTTATTATTTAAACCTACAGCTGTCCAGATTTCATAGGAAAAGGGACTGCTGCTGTTTCACTAGGCTTATCTTTGGCAATCAGGAGGCAGTATAAAAGCAATCCTAGTGCAGACAGAACAAAGCAGGTTTTGATTTAGCAATATCTAGTAATGAAATGACTGTACAAGACCCAAGTTCTCTGAGTAGTAACTACTCAGGACCTCTTCTAGACTAGTCTTTCCAACTAGTATCTTCAATATCCCAGTTTCTGATTAGATACAGTTTGGGCATCTTCTTGGCTTGCACTTGTGCTTTTTAATTGTGCTATAGTTCTGTTGTGGCTGTGTGATTTGGGTGTGTGATTCAAGCCTGGAAAAAAAATTGTCTCAGCATTATTAGAAGGTCAGAAGGTTTTGTTGAGAAATACTAGTTTTTTTCTAGATGTCAGCCTGATAAAATAATCTGAGTTTCTGTCTTCTTGCACATCATCACCAGCAATTATAAACCAGCAGTCAAAGCTTCTGCTTCTGTTACTTCTTGAGTGGTCCTGCCTGCACCCCTATTCTTCAAGAGAACCCTGATGATGGATATGTAGCAGTATCTGATCTTTGAGTTAAAGTAATATTAAAATTCTGGAAGTGAGAACTTCTTTTAACTCTTAGTAAAAGCAAGAAACACTGTAGAGGTTTGTAACAGGGCTGATTCCTTGTATTTTGTATTAAAAAAAAAAAAATTAAAATAAAAAGAATAGGAAAACTTGCTACTGTCTGCATTACTTCTTACTGATTTGTAATTCCAATTTTTTCAAGCAGAAGTTTCTACCCTGTGAAGGGCAGGTCCATATTTATTTACTCACCAGGTTCAGAAGCCAAGAACCAGCCTGAGGATGGCACTGAGGTTCCTTGCCTGGATTCCCCTGTGGCCTAAGAAAGACTCACTGAAGCCTTGAGCCTTCCTGTTCCTCACACCTCCACTTCTGACTGTTGTCCCTAAAGGCAGCCCCATCAAAATCCACCTGGGAAAACCGGAGACAAACCGTCATAGAAATGCCAGGTTGGAAGGGACCTCAAGGATCTTCTGGTCCAACTTTTCTAAGTACAAACCCTGTTTACATGCGATGGCCCAGCACCCTGGTCAGCCAAGTCTTCAGTGTGTCCAGTGCTGGGGAATCCAACACTTCCTTGGGGAGGTTATTCCAACGTCCTGTTCTAATCTCAGAGAAAGCCTGTGTTCTGCTGTCCAGCAGGGTTATCCCCCAGGAGCAGCCGGCACCCGCTGGCCCCTTCCGGCGGAGGGGGCACCCGGAGGGG